AATTTATTCAAGAAGATTTTACTTTACTTTTGGAGAAGGGGGGAAAACCCAGGTAAAAATTTTGACTTAATAGAAGAGAAAATGTTTTGCATAAAAAGAAACAGTTCCCTAGAAGTGATACTTAGCACTGCTCTGGTGAAAATAATGACTAAGCAGGTTTGACTTTAGGTATCTATATACAAACTCGCCAAGTGAACTTGAAACCCTAAAACAGGGTAGATACAACCTCATTGGTGTCAGTGAATTTGTTAAACTGGCATATGTGGATGGAAGTTTATTACTGCAAACACAGAGCCAATAGGAGGAAATGGGTATAGCACTGTTCCTAAAAAAGACACCCACATTCTCTGGCTACAAAGTTGGCAATGTCTAAAAATTTGCATGTGTGCACAGGCATGCTGCACCTCCCCTCTTCCCTAATCTGGGCTGGCTAATGTTAAGGTAATGGAGAAACAGAAAAATATGTGCACTGCCAATGGGCATTGTAGACTGGGACAAGCTTTCTGGAAGGCAATTTGACAATATGTATCAAAAACTTAAAAATTCTTCATATCTTTTGACTTGGCAATTCTACTTCTAAAAACTGAGATACAACCCAAATGTCCAAGAACAAGGAATTAAGTTAAATAAATTATAGTACAGGCTTAGAATACTATATAGTCATAAAGTCCCATCCCCCAAATAGCATAAGCCCGTTAAAAAAAAAAGTATGTCTCTCTGTCCATTCATAAATAGACTAAAACATAAAATAATGTTACTTTTGTTTACCTTTGGAAGTGAGAATATGGGAAATTTTTATTTTTTAAAATAACTATATATTACATCTTCAATAGAGAAAAATTCCTGTGTTTTTTTTTTTTAAGTTGTATACTTTTATGAAATTCCACATACATTTGGGTTAAAGATAAAGAGAAAACACAAAGGACAAGGTTAGGAAAAAGAACACTTGAGGGCATAAAACTAGACAGGAGATGGATACAGCTTTCCCAATGCACACTGTAAAAGTGGCAGAGACAAAGGATAATAGTACTTAGGGAGAGGACGAAGGGATGGTAACTGTCATTTTGGAAAATAAGCATTTGATACACTGACCTAATTTAACATTTTATCTCTCAAAATCAGTGGAAACAAATAAACAATGGGAGAAATTATTCTGGGTTTAATTCCGCCCAACTAGAAAGAATTGGCTGGTGATGCAGAAGATGATAGGAATTCTGGGGTAAAAATAACTGTACTAGTAAGGAAAGGGGGTCGCCGGCCCTGGCTAAATCTGAACCATGACTTTAGCAAAATGGATTTCAAAAAGTTCAGAGGACAAATAGGTATGATTGTCTTCAAAAGGGGCTAATAATTGACAAGAAATAGAAAATTATAAAAAACAAAATTCTGACCAAGCGATTGTAAATAATCTCAATGCCTAGTAAACAGAAATGAACCAAAGAAACCAACTAACAGGGTTTTCTCTGATGAGCTCATAATTTAAAAAACATATAACTTCTAGAAGAAGGGCACATATCTAAGGAAGAATAGAAAATAACAATGTGAACCTGTAAGAATAGGCCAGATTTGGTTTAAATAGGGTAACAGCAAAAGGTTTTCAAAGCAAGATCACGAAAAGTTAAGCCCCCTGACCAGGTAAAAAGACAGAGAAGACAGACCTTGTCCAACTCCTATTATGATTCCCTTTTCTGTTAGAAGGGTTTTCAACCTGGAAAGGATATAACAAAAATCCTAATAAACAAAATGCAGCCCAAGGAAGGTGAGGGCAATCTACACATTTTAAATGTCTTTAAATCCAGAATCTATAGTCCAATAAACAAATTCTAAAATGGATTACAGAAATTCACAGTTTACAAATATTTAGGCACTAGAAATTTCCTAAGTCTTAAAAAAAAAAAAGTTAAATTTCCATCTTTGATAGAGTTACTTTATTGACGGAAAAAATCTGAAAGTTTTCTTGACAACAGCAAAGCATTTTACAAAGTTTTTCATAACATTATTACATAAATGACTATTGCAAGGTTGGTCTGCAGCTAAGCAAACTACAAGAGGGGTAACCAATCACTCAGAATGATCACTCAGAATTGCCACCAGAATAATCTCTAGTAAGCCTTGCCCAGTCTCATTAATTTATTTTATCAGTAATTTCAGTAATGGCAAAAAAACGTCTAGTAGGCCCTGGCTTGTCCTTGATATATTTTATTAGTTGCTTGGATAAAGGCAAAAAATTGATCTGTTTATGAAATGTGCAGATGATATATAATTGTATAGAAAACCTAAAACCCTGACACTTTAGAATATATTCAGGGTTAGGATTTAAAATCTTCAGTAGTATGGAGGGCTTGTTAGCCATCATTACAATTTGAATGACTTTTGCATGTTAAGGATTGGGTTGGTTCTATATAACCCCAGAGTAGGATCACTGAATGGAAGAAGGTATAGGGGGACAAATTTCAGAGTGAAAAAAGGATAAACCTTCTAAGAGAGTGATACAAAGATGGAATGTGCTCATTCTTGCAGTTACTGAATATACATAAGCTTAGGATAGATGACTAGTTCTCAACAGACAATAAGAGAGGTGAACTGAAATCAGTGGTTTTCAAATTGGTTTTAATAGCAGACCCATTGCACTGAAAGAAATCTTACCCAGAAGACTGATGTACAAAACAGATGAAGAGAGAAAACTGCTCTAGTTGAAATTCCCTACCACATTTCACACTTAACTCATCTAGCATTGGACCAGATGATCTCTAAAGTGGTTGATATGTGACTAGTAAAATTACAACTTCTCAAGATTTATTATTCTAGATGGTCTAGATAAATGGTCTTCCAAATGAAGTGAATGAGAGGATCTATTGGGGGTGTGGAGAAAATCAGAATTTATATATAATAAAAATCAAAATGAGAAATTATACTTTATGGACTGAGAGTAGTACGTGTAATTTTCAACAGTTTTTCATGTCAATCAGAGCCACGATCAACTATAATGCTCCCAGCTACTGAGGTATTTTAAAAACAATTTAAAAAGAATGTGAAATTTTTTGAGGAAAAAAAAAAAAATCAACATCTGTACCCATTAATTTAAAACAACTGTTTTAATTTTTGTATACCTCTGTCTAGTCCCTATCCACATTGTTGGCACAATTACCAACATGGTAAGATTTTTGGATTTTCTCCACATAAATTAAGACAGTTCCACAAATGTCTACAAGCTTCATTACAATTGTTTTTTTATGGTTAAATAAAAATGGAGATTCTATAATGTATTGAAACAATTTCCTAGTGTTGATCATTTAGATCAGATTGGTTCTCCTTTTTGTTATTATATAATTATTCTTATTCCTATCTCTGTACATGGTAGCTTTTTTTCTTCTATTAGATGTACTTAAAGTTAAGATTCCTAAGATTCCTAAGATTAGTGAACTAAAAAGTATGAACTCTGATGGCTCTTGTTATACACAGCAATGCTGTCAGCAGGGCTTACTCAGCTCACCTGCAGTCACTATCTGAACTCTGAACACAACACTGGCTAAGCACTCTGTACACTTTATATCTTCCTTCTCACAACTCTATGCAGTGGGTATTTACTATTCCTGACTTATGAATAAGAAAACTGAACCTAAGAGAGACAACAGGGAGTATGTATATTTTAAGGTCTTATTAAAGAATGTAATTGTCAACTTCTTATTTAAAATATATATACACATATATACATACAGGAGCCTCTAATGTCATACAGTCGACCCCTTCATCTAGATCAGCATTTCCTGAGGTATGTTTGGTGACACACTTGGCCCTCACTACTTTAGCCCTGAAGAAAACTATTTTCCTTTAACTATATTGTGATGTTATACCTTTGGCTTACACTGATGGGCACTTAAAATATCCACATAAACTCACTATTACAATTATTGTTGGGATAGTGACAAGAACTTCATTTACTCTCTCTCTGATGTACCAAATCTGAGGCCCTCAGGGAGAAAGACTTCTCAAACAGCAGGGCCAGAAACACTTTGCTTCTCCTAAGCCACCAGTGGGCTTTTTATCTAATGAACAATGGGAAATTTTAACAAATAACATTTCTTTGTTTACTTTAGCCACTAGGAAGCTCAGAGCAATATCTGAAATCCTCTTTGGCAACTATTAAAATACTCAAGGCACGCATTTCTCTAAATTAATTCTAGCTCCACCCTCAGCCTACTATTCCTCTATTAAATTCCTTATACCCTGATTTACTTCAACTTTGAAGTAAACTCTCAGGATCAAAGTCCAATGTCAGTTTCCATATTTATGTTGAAATCTGATTTCAATAGCTATAAGAATATACACGTAGCAATGAAATATTTTTTTTTTGGTAACTGCTAACTGCTGTAACCCGTAGCAAAGCAACATAAAAATCAGCCAGAGCTGATTACAACCTGAGCTGTAACCTGGGATACCATGTGGGCATTTTTTTTTTTTTTGGTAGACAAGATCTAGTCACATTCTGATCTGAATCTTAGTTAAATGTATCTGCATTGCAGTTTTAGCCCTTTGAAATGATTAAACTATACCAATCTATATTTTATACTTGTTGAAAATTTGCCTCGCTAGTATACTAATATAATTTACATTCAGGATGATGGAACTAACATGAATTATCTTCAATAATATTACATTTGTACAGATTGCTTTCTGCTATAAACATCTCATTTGATATATATTAATCAAGAAATTATATGGAAAGTATGACCTCTAAAATAAAAACTCAGGTGAGAGAATTTAACACTATAATAAGATATTTACACCTTACATATAAAGTATTTATGAGGTCCTTTTGTTTTGTGCTTTTTGGAAATAAAGCAACATTTTATTCACATTTATTCACTTGGCTGTGCTATGTTTTTGATATTTGGAAGGTATTAAATGTTCACATGCATCAAATGAAATAAAATGGAGGTAATCATGTCTTTTTTAAAAAACAGAATATGTTTTTATGGAAGAGATTCATGTGTTCTCACCTGAGGCTGCTGTGGCATTTGTAGGGGTTGAAGCAGCTGCTTGAATCCGAGCATGAGGAGGAATAAGGATGGTAGCTAGAGGTGGATTACTCGACAGTTCTAGAGAAAAGGTAAGACACATATGTTAGAGCCCACTCTTAACTTTGTATGTGAAACTACTTTACTGGTAACAATAAACATAAGATACTCCATTAAAACACTGGTTTAGGGGCCGGCCCCCTGGCGTAGCGGTTAAGTGCGTGTGCTCCACTGCTGGCGGCCTGGGTTCGGATTCTGGGCGCGCACCGATGCACCGCTTGTCAGGCCATGCTGTGGCGGTGTCTCACATAAAGTGGAAGAAGATCGGCACGGATGTTAGCTCAGGGCCAGTCTTCCTCAGCAAAAAGAGGAGGATTGGCATAGATGTTAGCTCAGGGCTGATCTTCCTCAGCAAAAAGAGGAGGATTGGCATAGATGTTAGCTCAGGGCTGATCTTCCTCACAAAAAAAAAACAAAAAAAACCACTGGTTTAACAGAAAAAAAAAGACATGCTAAACCTACATCTGTTAAACCTACTAGCTAAATCAATGAGCTAGTAATCAACTCATAGAGAAAGCCCACAGAAATGTGATACATAACAAAGGCACCATCTGCTAAAATTAGAATATGTCTGAGAACTAAAGATATCTTGGGGAAAGATATTGGCTGAAAGTTTGAGAATAAGCATACTAATAAGATACATTTCCATCTTTCATTAACGTAAATACACTAGGTTTTCCCATACTACTCTGACAATATTTGATTACAGGAATTGAGGGTGATGGTGTCATAGAAAAGAGAATATGACTATAGTCTGTGTGTCTGTATGTGTATGCATGCATAAACCAACCCACCCAATTGTTTGTGAGCCAATGACAGATAAGATCTATCCAAACACTAGTGGAAACAGGATAGAACAAACATCTGTTTAAAGTCTCATTGCTTTTATTTAAAAAAAGAAATGTCCTGGGGCCAGCCCTGCGGCCCAGTGGTTAAGTTTGGAGCACTCTGCTTTGGCGGCCCAGGTTCACTTCCCAGGCGTGGACCTACACCACTTGCAGGGGACCATGCTGTGGTGGCAACCCACACACAAAATAGAGGAAGACTGGGAACAGATGTTAGCTCAGAGTGAGTCTTCCTCAGCAAAAAAAAAAAAAAAAAAGTATTCACTCTATTTTGTTTTTTAACTCAGTAATATTGTACATACACAAGCTTGTACATTAAGTGTTCATTTTCACTGTAATAAGTGTTGCAAGTTGAAGGAATAATTATATGACCACACTGGCTACAGGAAGATGTTATCCTCTGAGCTACAGCATATATTTTGACAATTCACAGATGTGGCGTGGAATAAAAAAAGTTAGAAAATAGCGGCTTTTTAAAAAATTAAAGTAAAATTCACATAACTTAAAATTAACCATTTTAAGGTGTACAATCTAGTGGCATCTAGTATATTCACAATGTTGTCCATCACCTCTATCTAGTTTCAAAACATTTTAATCATGCCAAAAGGAAACCTTTAAGCAGTCACTCCCCATTTGTCCCTCCCTCCAGCTCTAGCAAGGGAAACAGTGTTTTAATGTAGTAGTTTAAAAATGTTTTCTGGTGCGAAGTCCCTGCTAATATTGACTTACTCAACTTGGTACCTACATATCTAAATGTTGTACTAAATGATACCAGATTGTGGTAAAAAGAAACAAGCTGATGCCAAGATATATGAAAAATGAATGGGAGGAAAAGCTTAAAACTGAGAGAAAACTACTCATTATCTTTTCCCCTTAAATGAGAAGACTTAGGTCAGCTCATCAAATAGACAGTTGGAAAACCACTGCCCTAATGATCAGGTTCAAAGAGGTGCTATTTTCTCATAATCAGCTTTAGTAGCTGTTTTGCTTCTCACTGAGGAACAGGAAGATCCTACGTGGTTTTCCTTCTGGTAAGTCCAATTTTAACCTACAATCTTATACCTAGGAAAGCAAGAGAAGCCCAGTTGCCGTTGACTGATGATTTTATCGTTCTAGAATAAAAATTAATGCAGGATGTGGTAGTTACTCCTCATTAACCTAAAAGAAAATCAAATTTACCATCCCAATTAAGATTAAAATCTGCTAAAATAGAACCGCTTTTTAAAAATCCAACCATTTATCTACCTACCCACACCCCCTTCCATCTAACAATACTGAGTATAAAACAGTAAGTTAGGTCCCAAGATAGAGGGAGAAAAAGAAAACTATCTTTGTCTGATCAACAGAAATAGAAAATAGAAAGACAAGTGCACAAACAAGCTGGCAAAAAAGGCATTCAACCTATTCAGAATAGAGGCACTTTTAAATTAAAAGATCTCTATGCACAAGTGCCCCACACCTACAAGAAAATCTAAAAAAGGAAAAGATAACCAGAGATTTTAATGTAAGACATTTTGACAAAGCTAGTAATCTTTAAAATAAATTGAATAACAGTAGTTTGTGGTCATTTTACTTATGGCCCAAGCTGCCCATTTCCTCCCATTCATTTACTCTCTTTTACCAGATCACCTATTTTCTGCATATCTGCATGCCCAGTTGTGTCTTATTCTGGGTAAGGATATGTGTACACACACACACACACACACACACACACACACAGAGGTGCACAGCTTGAAAAAAAAAATCCTTTTTCCCTAGGTAGTAGACAGTCATCTTGGCCTTGGGAAGGGGGAGAGGGTAACTAACAGAGGAATAAAAAGGGAAAATGAAGAAAATAAGGAGACAAGAAAAGGAGAAGCTCTGAGATCTTGGAGACTTTGCCACAACCAAAGACACAGGGGAGAGTAAGTAAAGTCCACAAAACAACTAAAAATACCAGGTTCTTAACCTAGAGTCGCCAGTGAGTGGCCTTTGTGGGGAAGGGAGGGGTGAGATTTTTGTTAACTTTTGTTAAGTCAAACATCCTAAAAGTCAAGGAATTTTAAACTGGACAATCACTTACAGTTCTACATCCCTCCAACCTCTATACCCCATTGTCTTTCTCTTCCTTAATTATAGGCATTCCTTAGGGTCCACTGCTGTCCATCTACTAGCTCTTCTCTACTTTGGAGAGCTTGTTAACTGTTATAGCTTTTGCCTGTCTGAATGAGAAAGCCTCCTTGTACTCTTGCTATAGTCCTGTTCTCTATACTACAAGTCTGTCCCTTTTGTGGGGACAGACTATGGGTACTTCCATGGAGGCTGTCACAATTAGTCCAAAATGGCTGTAAGTGTTTTCTGCTCACAACAATTACGACCTACTCCCAATCTCCCTGTCTATCCATAGCAATAAGTTAGTAAGGAAACTGAGGCAATGAGTGTGGACTTAAACTACAGTGAAAGAATGCAAAAAAGGACGGCATCTTGGAGGGCAGACACAGCAAAGCAACAGAATTTTTCAGGATCAGGGAGAGTGCAAGTATTCTTAAAGGCAGAGAATAAGGTGTGTAGAAGAGACTGAAAACGAAAAGTAAACTAATATTTATTTACTAAATATGTGTGGTAGGCTTGAGAGTAGGACGATAATTAAGGGAACAAGAAGGTCCATAATACTGAAGTGGGGCTAGCTTTAGAAAAGTAAGAGGTAGGAAGGATAAGACAGAGACTGTGTTACCGCAGAGACATGGTTCAAAACAACATGGCAACAGGTTCCAGAAGGTTTTAGAAAAGTTAATGCATGACAAGGATTTCTTCAACCAAGTGCAGATGCCATGAAAACTATTCATCAAAAAATCACATAGTAGTTTATCAGAAAATATTAAGAATGTTTTGATGGTGTATCACATTATGTGCTCCACAATCAAACCTTGTAATGCATAATTTAAAGAAAAGCAAAATGAATTTAAAAATAGGTATCAATAAACAAATCAAGATAGATATCAATCAACCAAAGGTTAACCAAATTCATGTAACTAAAATTTGCTGCACTGTTGTTTATACTGCAAACTATGGAAGAAAAATTCCCAGGAACAGACAAACAATAAACTCAACCATAACTAACCACCTAATAAAGCAATCTTTTTAACTAAAACAAAACAAAAGCTAAATCTAGCTGACAAAGACTGGAGTTTTCCTTAATCTAAAGTTTCTATTCTTCCAAATATAAGATTTTCAAAATTAAAGATAAGAAGGAGCAGGTGAAAAACTTTCCTACGGGGCAGGGGGCGGGGAATAGGGCATATACGTGTGTTCAAACAGTGTAGTGTGAAAGGCGAGGATAAATTTTAGAACAGCAACAATGTGTTAACCAGAGAAGAAATCAACCCCTCTGTTGACTAGACCTACTCTTAACAGTGATGTAATAAGATACCAGTCACCAGGGAGAAGGGAATGTTCTTCCTTTGTTAGCTTCGAAGGAGTTAAACCTGCAGATCCCCCGAAAGGAGTCACTGAAAGAGGCAGACTTTCCTTTTCTTCTACAAGTGGTTTGAGGTCTTCATGTGTGCATCAGGCCTCTTATGTATATATGAAAGTTGCCAGTGGTTGTCTGTATAATTAAACTATTTCCCTTCATTCACAAAAAGGTTTAAACAATTTAACAATGGCACGCCCATTTCATTTGTGTAGTTGTTTGAGCAATAATTCCAATGCTAGAATGGTACACCTTGATCTCACACATTACTGAATTCTGATGTTGCTTATTTGGATATTTTTTTTTAGATAAACAAGTAACACCATCATAACTGCTTCTCTCCTCTAGTAACAATTTCAAAGTGCCCAGAAAATCCCTGATGAAGATTCTAACACTGACTATATATTCTATACTCATTCAGAAAATTAAACAAATACTACTAAAAAATTAAACAAATACTAATTAGAAGATCAGACAAATAGTAAATAAATATAAGGCTTACTCCTGCTACTTGGTGATACTGGCGATGTTTCGTGTGAGGACTACATGATAGCTGCACAAACCTGCAATTACTTCGCCTTGGAACTGCCCTAGAGGGAGCATCACAATTTATATCAGTCACCCAAAAATGTCTGAATGTGTTAATGTGATATATTTTAGAAGTTACCTAGCAAAATGTTAGTATTTTAAAAGTTCTGGTGATTAAAAAGAATAAGCTTTAATAA